CAGGTGTCCGATGGACCGCCCCTCCAGGAGCCCTCACCATGGAGAGACCCCGTGGAATTGGTCTCATGGAGACGACGCGGGCAACGTCCATGATCCGAACAAAGAGGTTCCTGGAGGAGGAAAGCGCATCACAGAGGCCGATCGCGTCCCTATGACCGAAGAGGTGGCCAACACCGTCAAGGAAAATTGGGCAAAGCTTCCCAATGACCACCGCCTCAAGGAATGGAACCGCCGAATCCATAAGGAAGCGGGGTCACCCGCAGAATCCAGTAAGGAAGCGGGGTCACCCGCAGAATCCAGTAAGGAAGCGGGGTCACCCGCAGAACCCAGCAAGGAAGCGGGGTCGCCCGCAGAAGCAGCACCAGCCGCTGGATCTGCGGACGAGTGGATAGACGTTGCCTCTGCTGCCGGGTCCGCCGCCGGCACTGACCGCACCGAGCTAAATGAAGAGTGGGCGGCGGAAGACGGTTCAGAGAATCCATTCCCTGACGGAAGCGCCTGCTGGTACTACAGCTCTTCGGCGCAGAAGTGGTTCTGCACGAGGGTACTCTACCGCCATGAGAATGGCAAGTACAAGCTGGCCATAAAAAGGGTACTGCCGACATCGACCAGATGAGGCAGGTCATCCATGATCATGGCCAGCCGGAAGGCCCTCCTAGAGACCCTCCTGGTCCACGACCAGGCAAGGGCAGCAGACCACCGCCAAGACCTAAAGCCGACTCCTCGTCTTCACCGACTCCTGCGAAAAGGCAACCGTCCAAGAGCCCCGAAGGCACACGTGAGCGGGCGAAGGCCAGAGGGACTGCCAAGACAGACGATCCTAAGACGGCAGCTCCTCCCGGTCCGTCCGTGACAGAGAGGAAGAAGGTTTTTGCTGGACCATCGACCCCGATGCCGCCGGCGACCCAAGGCGATGTCAAGGACGAAGCTCGCGACAATCCTAAGGCAGCATTCCGAGGTGACTGGACTCCAACACTGCATCAGCCACGCCTTGCACCACGACCAGGTTCGGCACGAATGAAAGCGCAGCCGAAGCCCGATGCTGGGATGAGGTCGGTGCGGGCAGAAGCGGCCGCCAAGGCTAAGGAGGACAAGGGCTCTGCGGGGCCACCCGCTAAAGCGGCGCCAGCCGTAACAGCGGGGACACCCGCAGAAGGCACTCTCTCCAGGGAAGAACGCTTCAGAGTCCTCAAAGAGTTTGGCGACCAACAGAAACTGACTGATGATGCAGCTGCTGACAAAGGTCGCCCGAACCCTGGCGCGGAGTCATCTGCAGGAGCTGCCCCGTCAGCCGCAGGTTCTGCAGGGCCACCCTTTAAAGCGGCGCCAGCTGCATTAGCGGGGTCACCCGCCAAAGCGCCGCCGACTGCACTAGCGGGGTCACCCGCAAGCGGGCAGCCAATAATGTCTGTTCTGAGGGTCATTCCTTTGGAATGCAAGTTGTATTGGCAAGGCATTGTAGACAAAGGCCCGAGGCAGCCCATCAACCCACGAGTCACTCCAGACGACACGGACCGATATGAAGTCATTAATTGTCCGGTTCGTCGTAATTTCAAGTGTCACAACGACTGGGAGCGCGAACAGCAGAAAGTGGGAGACATGCTGCGAGACAGGCCGCCACTACGCGCTGCGCAGCATAAAGAAGCACTCCTGAAGGTCATGACACAGAACGGCATGGATCCAACCTTGCCGAGTAAAGAGCAGATGACCAAGGTGTCGATGTGGTTTTCAACGTCTCTACGCCACAGTCCATACTATAAGGACAAACATAACCGATACTTCGAAAAGGTCAGCACCTTTGATCCATACGATGGCTGGGTTGTCGTTGACGATCTGCTGACAAACTGGACTGAAAATGATCAGTATAAGCACTATCGTGAAATGCACGAGGTGCTGATCAAAGGCAGGCCCCACACGTCATTCGTGTATTGGGTGCTGCTAAACTGCTGTGAGATGGTTGACCATCACGGCATGCAGAAGGGCAGGCTCCAGATGAAGTGCGTTGATGACAGTATGCTGCTGCCTCCCAGGTTTCGACCAACGGCGCGCAGGCCACAGTACTTCATCAGAGCCACGAACGGCCATAGCAGTCCAGGCATCCACTGTCCCGAGTCGCTGTACAAGCCGATCACAACATGGATGAAAGAACCAGACGACCCAGTATATTTCATCCACGGGACGCAGTGGGAGTATGTCAAGGACATTCTTGCTAATGGCCTGTCATGCCTCGCACAGGACAACCCGAAGAGGAAGGGGGGGCGCCAATTTGTGCATGGCTGCCCCTACCTCCCGGGCGACCCGAGGATTCAATCGGGCATCCGTCCTGACTCGGAGGTGCTCATATTCTGCAGCATCAACAAGATGCTGTCCAGTGGCTTCTCTCTATGGAGATCAGCAAATGACAAAGTCATGACACGGGGCCACGATGGACGTATACCGCCCGATCATATTCTCCAGATAGTGAGCATTGCGAAGTATCGGGTCGGCGAAGCCTGGACCAATCCGCTGTTTTATGACAAGACGCGGAGGCGGGGCCAACCCGCGGACAGGATTCGCACTGATGACTATCTGCCACTTAAAATGTGTGACAGAACTGTGGCGGTAATGGAAGACCACGCCATGTACCTCAAGGGCTGGGCTAAGACGGACGGTCGTCCATTCAATTTGGTCATGACCGAGCAAGATGTTGCTCCACGACCGTACGACACACAGACAGTCCTCATGATGAATGCCCAGGAGGACGAGGTCATGCCTGAAGCGGGGCCACCCGCAGGAGCGGGGACACCCGCGGTAGACACCTCGGACGGTTCATGGCAGCAAGTAGTCACACCGGTGGCGACGGTAGCATCTCCTTGGAGGCCGGACCAGCAGTCCTGGGTCCACGCTCTCAACAGCCAATTGACATCAGCCGACGTTTCTGGACTGACCGATCAGCTATACCGTGCTGACCCGTGGGCGGTGCATGCAGGTATCCAAGACGCACAGCAGAGGAACCTGCGCCCTCCTGCGGGGCCACCAGGCGTCCTAGGACCACAACCACACCGCCCTCCACAGCAAGCTGGAGTTGCGAGGTTTGCTCCTATGGGCGGCTCAGATGGTGGCTCGCCGTTTCGGACTCCGCCGTCTGAAACGAGCGAGAACATCCTGTGGCAACGACTCCAGGCGATTCGCGGAAATCCGGCGCTCGCAGCAGCACTCCAGGCGACCACTCCCTTTGGCACTCCGAGGGGTAGTGAAGGAGGGGTGGCTGCGGGGGCACCCGCCGAGCGAACGCCTGCGGAGTCATCCGCACACGCGGGGCCACCCGCTGACGGACAGCAAGGTTCAGACTACGAACGTCGGGCAGCCGACTTGAGAGCACAGGCTACCTTTTTGCAGCAACAAGCTGATAGAGTGCCCAGCCTGTTGCGGAACCGCAACATAGATGTTACGAACCATGGCGACTTTCGGCCTCTCTGGAGCTGGACTTCTGATGACGCTCCAAATGCTGATCCCACGAATCCATATCGACAGGTGTTTATTCCAGGAATAGCATCACACCCAATATATGGATGGGATAATCATGGACCAGCAGAGGCACAGGCCATGGATGCGCCGATGTACCCGGAGTACTACGCGCAGGTGAATAACACTCCTATGATTGCGGGGCCACCTGCAAACGAATACACTCGAAATCTGGCCAATGAGATGTTTCGTTTGCAGTATACACGAGCAGTCGATGCGCAGTCTATGCCGCACTACGCCTACATGCCCTCGCCGACGGACCCCGAGACCGTAGTTCAGCCAGCTGGTCTCGCGGTGCCAGCCGCTCTGGGCAGCATGCCAGACTATATTCGCGACGTGCACAACACGCAGCAAGCGATACTGGCATCTAGGCAGCAGGCTCGGGACAACGCTAGGCTGCGCCAACAGCGCGCGATCCAGAGAAGGATCGAGCGTGATAACCAAGCGGGGACACCCGCAGGCGCGGGGCCACCCGCTGAACAGACAGATAGACTGCCACCACCGACGCCATATCGGGAGGGTGAAACAACCTTCGAGCGTCAGGCTCGGACACGCCCTGACGTGCCTACTCCAGTCATTTCAGACTACAACTTCACACAGTGCCCAATCTGTATGGACCCCTACGAGATGGGCACCACGGTGTGGAGACTGGCGTGTGGGCACTTCTTTCACGATATATGCTGGGATCGTGTTGCACAGCAGCACGTCCGCAATCAGCGACCAGGTGCGCCAAACGAGGCACCCTGCGCTGTATGTCGTGGGCCGGGCATAATCACAGCACACTTTCCGTATGATGGACAGCGCGACGCTGAGTCGGAACAGGCGCGCCAGCAGGAAAGATACGTGTGGATGCTCGGGAACTGCGTCGGCTGCGGGAAGCAGTGGAGGCGCTAGAGGCTCGAGCCGCAGCGCCAGAGCAAGGCATCCAGATGCCGATCCTGCCTACGCTTCGAGCACAGGGGCCCCCAGCAGCGGGGTCACCCGCCGAAGCGACTCCCGCCGCCACAGCGGGGCACCCGCCGAAGCGGCTCCTGCCGCCAAAGCGGGGTCACCCGCAAATGGACCTCCGAATCCGGGATTCCTGAGGGCAATGGAGGCCAATATTAGGCGGAGTGGCAGGAGCGGAGGCGGATCCAGAACCTCACGTGTAGAGAGTCCGGCAAGCGCTAGAAGCCGGGCCAGTGCTGAGAGCGCGGAGGCAGCCCAATTCCACAATACCTTCATGATCAACACGGAAGGGCTGACCTACACACGTGACGTCACGGATACGCTTCCGCCAGGAGGTGAGTGGACCTCCACACTCTCTGCGAATTATTGGGTTCTTGAACAGGAACCAATTACCGTGGAGGAGCGCCGCCAATATGAGCCAATATGGTGCACCGAGCTAACAATGAGCCAGTGGGTGCTGGAACAACGCCTACTGAAAGGCACGCTCGGTTCACAGATTACGTACCATACTGATGACCATGGTACGATGGCTCTGGCGGCGCGGACAGGGACATTCTTCCCCGACGAAGACGGAATGCCCTGCATATCGTTCATGCTAGACATTGGCTCCAACGTGAACATCATCGGAGCTAATACGGCACGAACCTTCCAGGAGGTTATGGCCAGGTACAATCACAGACCGGCCATATGCACACTGAGCAAAACCCTCTACATCAACGGTGTCGGTGAGGGTGCTGCGATCTGTCGGAAAATGGGCAACTTCAAGATCGGGGTGCAATATGCCAATGAGGCAAGCCCCCGCATCGAGGAGTATGCTTCCAACATCGCAGAGGGCTCAGGTGCAAACCTCCCAGCCATCTGGGGCCTGGGCGCCATGGAAGCACGTGACACAATCATCGTGCTGAAGCCAGGCTTCCAGAAGGTTATCTTCCCCAGCGGAGATTATACTCTTAAGGGTCGGAATAACGAAGTTATTGCTTGGCACAAATCCGCCCGCGCTGTGAACGACCCCGCGGCTGGCCGCGGGGGCGCCCTCGCTCGGCTGGTCGGCCGCGCGCTGGTCGACCCTCGTCCGCCTCCCGCTCGCGTCGTGTGGTGCAGTGCCGTGCCGTGCTTCCTCCGCCTGGCACTGGGGCGGGATATAAATACCGTGCCGTGTGTCGGGTTTCTGCCCTCCGCCCTCTGGGGGCTTCGCTCGGCCCATAGTGGCTTCCTTGCGGCCCATAGTGGCTTCGTTGCGGCCCATAGCGGCCTGCTGCGTTCACGTGCCCATGGGGCCCTCTCTTCTGGTCCATAGTGACCACGAGCTGTCGTTGGCACGCTCTCATTCGTCACCATGGCGCGCTGGCATGCAAGCGAGCGGGCTTCAGCTGGCGTGGTTCTCGCTCGTGCCCCGTGGCGCTGTGATTGCGATGGCGATGCTTGCCTTCTTGCAGTCTGACCCTGTTGTGGGCGCGAAGTGGACTGAAATCCAGTTCAAGGGCGCCATTGATTGCCTGGCAGCCAATGGGCTGACGATGCCAGAAGAATTGGCCAATCTTCAATTCGGCGATTTGCAGGATGCCGATGGCGCGACGGCGCTGACGAAGGGCGTCCTGCGGCGCGCTCTGGATCGCGCGACGGTGGCGGCAGCCAAGGCGTGTGCGCCGGGTGCCGCGGGGCCTGCGCCGGCTTCGGCGGGTCGTTTCGGTTCGGTTGCTGCAGAATCCTGGGCTCCCGCCGAAGGGAGAGCATGTCGACATCGGCGCTGGCCTGGCCCAGATCAGCTTGAGGGACCTTCCGGAGTCCCTGTGGCCGAGGCTGCCGCGCGGCTTCGCCCCGGCGCGCTGGCGCGTTTCCATCGTTCGCTCAGGTCAGCGAAGACCGATGCGCTGGCCACCGAGGTGCAGCGCGCGAAATCCAGTGGAATCGCGCGCCCGTTCATTTATACTGAGCTCGCGAAGTTCCAGCCGCTTTGCGCGCGCGGCGCGGGCGGCTCTCCCGACGATGACTAGCCCGAGTCGAAAGAGGCGGCCGCGTTGGCCAGAGCGTTCGGACGGGGAACCGCGGCGGAGAGCCAGCCGCTTCTGGCGTGGACGCCATGGCACCAAGCTTACGACGCGTGGAGCGTGCGGCCGCGGTCACTGATCAGATTTCGTACACGAGCGCCATGGCTCACAAACACGTTGTTCTCCAGGCGAGTCGACATTGGCGCCCGTCCGCTGGTCGCCGAAGTGGGCGCGCTTGCCCTGGTTGCACTGGATGCCCCCCTGCAGGGACGGAAGGCCCAGGTTGCCTTGGTCTACGACCGCCTTGTGCGGAGGACGTGGGCCGAGCGTGCCGCCGCCGGCGCGGCAGGCTTCCAGGCCGCAGCTCCGCGCCATGCTTCGGCGCGTTATTCTCGGGCGCGCGTCGGCGCGCAGGTGAACGTTGCGGCGCTGTCGCTTGACGTCGGGCTGCTCCGCGCGGCGGAAGCAGAATATGATCGGGCTCTTAAGGCCGCGTCGCCGAATCCCTTGTTCGCGTTGCGCCACCGCTGTCGCGCAGGTTGCCGCGCCGGCCGGCAAGGGTGCAGGGATAAGCGCCGCGGCAGCGCGCGGGCAGAGTGCGAGCGCCGCGAGCGCCGCGGGCGCCGTGGGAGCCGCGGGGGGCGCCGCCGTCACTTCCTGGAAGAACGACCGCGATTCCAGAGCCGACGGGTGGCAGTCCCGATCCTATCGCGGGGATTACAACAAGCGCTCCTGGATTCGCGAACGGTGTATTCTCCTCAGAAGAAGCCGCGCGCCTGACGCCC